AAATCATTTATAGGATGAATAAGTTGGATGACTTCATGGTATAGATGTGGAATAAGAATTGTAGCTACAGTAAAAGATGGGTCCTCTACCTTTTAGTGAATGATCATTAGTGAAATTAAAATGACAAGATTTTGCTTTGTTGCATGTAAATACCCATCTAATGCCCAACATATGGGGTATTTCTCCCTTCCTGGATTTATTTGTGTTTTCAGACACCTGTCTCTGGTATCCCAGTGAAGCAGAGACAAATTGCGCCGTCCTCAGGGGGCTTTCTGTTGCTTAGAATCAATTATTCTGATATCAACAGAGACATGAAGTACTGTATTGATCCCCTGCAGCTTTCAGCCTTGAACCGCAGTTTTCCAACCAATCAGATGTGATAATATAACCCTGGTTCATGCGGAGCAAAAGTCACATCTGCCAATTCACTGCTGCTCTTTTTTTTGATAAATTTTTTTTAATCAATTTTCTAGAGCAATCAATGTCTGCTGTGTGAAGATCAATGGAAAACTTATACTCAGATTTGGAAAAAAGGCAATGTTTACTATGAAAGGATGTAAATGTTCCAGAGCTTTTCCCCATTTTGTCACTTGTTATTACTGTTGCACACAGTTTATTTTATTTTTACTCCCTGCTGTTCAGAGGTTTGTTGGTTTGTTGGAGAACAAAGAGTTTTACAAAAAGGGCGCAACTCTCAGCTTGTTTTCTTTCGCTGACGTTTAAACTGCAAGAGCTTGAAAAGTTTATTTTTCCCTTCAGCTCATTTTGTTGGTCCATACCCCCCACCCTAAAAATAACAAAAAATAAAAATATACGTTGTATCAAAGCACAATGAAATGGTCAGTTTTGCAGCACTAATTTGTCAGTATTTGAAAATAAGCTGCCTATACATGTAGCTCAAATATTTACTGTTATATTTAATCCAAAATGACTAAATTAAGTAAATTCATATCCATTTAGTTTATGTTTTGTTAGCATAATACTAATAATCAGAAAACAAACCCTTCCTTGCTGTCAGAGTGCGCGTTCAGTGTGATGAATGTGCCCTCGTTTCATTGGTTATTGTCTGGGCGTCGTCATCCTGCCGGCTCATGCGTTAGTTTCAGGTCGACCTGCGTGCCGCTGTCAAGGTCAAAGCAATCCTGGTTTATTTAGAGATATATCTCAGCCTAGTTAAAATTCACTCACACTCTGACTTAATCATATTACCCATCTGATGTGTGTGTGGGTGAGCGTGCGCGCCAGCATGAGGGGCAACAGGCTTCAGGTCACAGAGGGCGATTCAGTCATTACCCTTCATATTCAACACTTAGTTAATATTCACTCTGAAAAATACTGAGGCAGAGGCGAGATGATTAGATGAGCCACCCCCTCTGTAAAACAAACGCACACCAGCAAGCACCCAGAGTCAAGATAAACATACTGCTGTGCTTGATAGCAGAGTTATTACAGCTTTCCCACTTTGTAACACAACCCATACAGCATCCTCCGATAACATTCGTCAGCTGCAATCTCTTAAAATTAAAGGGGAAGACGCGAAAGCAGGATGCTGCCTCTGAACTCATTTTGAAAGGAAAGAAGGAAAACTTGATAAAATCTGCCCAGTTTCTCATTTGTCACTTTTCTGTCGGTGTATTTCCTCCAACTTGCTTCTTAAACTAATGTGCTGCTTCTTTTTTTTCTCTTTTTTCTCTTTGCAGACCTGAAGACTACAAGATGAAATGAAATCAAAGTTCCCTGAAGCAACTAAAGCTGGATTTATTTAATATTAAACATAGAAAGCAGCAGGCTTTAACCATTAAATTGTTTTCATAAAAAAATCTGACTTCACCCTGTTGTGTAAATTTACAGAAAAGCTTTCTTTCTTTTCCAAAAACTTGCATCAAAGTCTGCCTGGACTCCCACCAATAAGCCGCATCTTCCATGCCAGCAGTAACAACCCGGCCCCCGTTGCTCTGTTTCTGTAGGGCCGCTCACAAAAGCTCCACCAGAGCGGTATTAGCCATGACGGAACCACAGCAGAGACGATTTATCCAGGAGCAGCTTGAGATTTCTCTGCGCCGCTTGGATCCGATCAGAGAAAATCCAATTCTGTGGGATCTGCTCTGACTATGCTGCCATGAATCGATCAGGCCTGAAACGTGACTCTGTTAGAGCAAGGTTTTGCTTTCTGGAGGTTTCACACCAAAAACTATTATCTTGTTACAGTAACGAGATCAACATGCTACAAAATGTTTTTCTGCTGTCTGAGTGCTGTTCAAGTGAACTGTAAAAACAGACCAATAAACCATTTGTTCTTAAAAACAGTGTTTTTATAAATGCTGTAAAATATTTTTTATTGAACCAGACTCTTGTAAAAAGTTATTTACTTAGACTTAAAATAGTTTTGTGGTTTTAAATGAAACAAAACAAAGTATACATTCAGTTGTAACTAAGGGTGTAACAGTGTATTTGTAAAGTAAAAAGTATTCACACCCCTTTAGGTTTTGCTCGTTAGTCTCAACCTTCAGTGAATATAATGTTGGAATTTTATAGTTTCCCAAAAGAGGAAATTATGCTTAGTTTTATTGTTTTATGTTAACAAATCAAGAGTGATGTGCGTTATTGTTCACCTCCGAGACCATAGGAGGTACACTGCAAACAATTGAAATCTAAATAAGTAATTTTTTCCATAAATAGGTGTATTTTTTTTTTTTTTTTTTGAGGAGGTGAGACATTTTGCCAATGGAGCAAGACAATTTACAATTGAAATAATAAACAGTTGCATTGTCATATTTCAAGTGCATAATATCTAATTATCTTATTTTAGGAGTAAAAATACTCATTCAATTGGCTAATCATCTTATTTAGCAACTTAAATTAAGGGTAAATACAATTAATAAAAGACTTACTTATTTCTTGATTGTTTTTGCAGTGTAGAACCACCTTCTGATAAAATCTTTTATTTCTTTCATAGCCTTGAACCAGTTTGAATAGAGAACATCAGTGAGCATCAGTCTTTAATCATGCATCAGATTCATAATGAGAGAAAGGATTGCTTTGGACATTGATTCTGATGTGCAGTGATTTGCCCCACATATCGGTCACAAAATCTAAAATGTTTTTATATATATATATATATATATATATATATATACACTATATTGCCAAAAGTATTTGCTCACCCATCCAAATTATTGGAATCAGGTGTTCCAATCACTTCCATGGCCACAGGTGTATAAATTCAAGCACCTAGGCATGCAGACTGTTTTTACAAACATTTGTGAAAGAATGGGTCGCTCTCAGGAGCTCAGTGAATTCCAGCGTGGAACTGTGATAGGATGCCACCTGTGCAACAAATCCAGTCGTGAAATTTCCTCGCTCCTAAATATTCCACGGTCAACTGTCAGCTGTATTATAAGAAAATGGAAGTGTTTGGGAACGACAGCAACTCAGCCACGAAGTGGTAGGCCACGTAAACTGACGGAGCGGGGTCAGCGGATGCTGACGCGCATAGTGCGAAGAGGTCGCCAACTTTCTGCAGAGTCAATCACTACAGACCTCCAAACTTCATGTGGCCTTCAGATTAGCTCAAGAACAGTGCGCAGAGAGCTTCATGGAATGGGTTTCCATGGTCGAGCAGCTGCATCCAAGCCATACATCACCAAGTGCAATGCAAAGCGTCGGATGCGGTGGTGTAAAGCACGCCGCCACTGGACTCTAGAGCAGTGGAGACGCGTTCTCTGGAGTGACGAATCGCGCTTCTCCATCTGGCAATCTGATGGACGGGTCTGGGTTTGGCGGTTGCCAGGAGAACGGTACTTGTCTGACTGCATTGTGCCAAGTGTAAAGTTTGGTGGAGGGGGGATTATGGTGTGAGGTTGTTTTTCAGGAGCTGGGCTTGGCCCCTTAGTTCCAGTGAAAGGAACTCTGAATGCTTCAGCATACCAAGACATTTTGGACAATTCCATGCTCCCAACTTTGTGGGAACAGTTTGGAGCTGGCCCCTTCCTCTTCCAACATGACTGTGCACCAGTGCACAAAGCAAGGTCCATAAAGACATGGATGACAGAGTCTGGTGTGGATGAACTTGACTGGCCTGCACAGAGTCCTGACCTCAACCCGATAGAACACCTTTGGGATGAATTAGAGCGGAGACTGAGAGCCAGGCCTTCTCGTCCAACATCAGTGTGCGACCTCACAAATGCGCTTCTGGAAGAATGGTCAAAAATTCCCATAAACACACTCCTAAACCTTGTGGACAGCCTTCCCAGAAGAGTTGAAGCTGTTCTAGCTGCAAAGGGTGGACCGACGTCATATTGAACCCTATGGATTAGGAACGGGATGTCACTTAAGCTCATATGTGAGTCAAGGCAGGTGAGCAAATACTTTTGGCAATATAGTGTATATATATGATTAGAGCACCTTAGTTTTTTATGTGTCTTCCTGTGAGGGCAAACTGGATTTTATTTTAGGGGTTGAAGATAAGCATCTCTTACATTTTGAGATCTTTTTTGTAAAAAAAACAAATATTGCATAAAATCCAAATAATTAGACTGAGGTTTGTGGCCGCGAGGTGGTAAAATTTGAGCATATTTCCAACTTCATTATTTATGTGAATGTTAACATGCCTCTTATTTAATTTCTGCAAAAGGTCTAAAGTTAAATCCATACTTGGAGCTAAAATAGTGAGTGGGCTTAAATTTGCATAAAGAAATGCAAGATACAGTCGTTTTTTTTGTTTAATTTTAGTATGAAAACGTCGTTCATTTTGAGACAACAGAATGAATTATCCAGGACAAAATGTTACAGCCTTCAGTTTTTTTTAAAAAAAAAAAAAAAACAAGGTTCAGAAATGATACAGGATGCTCAAAGTAGAAAACGCTTTGCACGCAGAGGCAAGTTCAACAAACTGCAGTCCAGAGGACGGGTACAGGGGTAGTATGGTGCATTATAAAAAGCAGTCTGTACAAATGATGCCACTTTTGTTGTCCTCTGTTTTTTGCTTCTTTTTTTTAAAAAAAAAAAGGAAATTTTCAGGCTACAGAAACGAGACGCATGTGTCCAGTTACACACTCGGTGGTCGGCTGACAGGAGACATGCAGCTTCACTGAGCTGTAAGATGGAAAAACACAGCTTTAAAGGTTTGTAGTATCACTGGACGAAGCGGACACAGATCAGGCACTTTTCGGACCTCCCTTTTACACACATATACAGGTATCAGAGATATTTACATTTTTTTTTTTACTTGGAGGAATCCCACTACAGAGCAGAGGCTCCTCACCCCAATTTCAGATGAGTGCACAAGTTCATGGTGTCTAGGTTTTGTCTTTAGGGGCTCAAGCACTTATGGTGAGTCCGCTCTTCCTCTTACTTTGTCCTCCATGACCACGGTTTGTGAAAACCTGACGACACCCGGGGACCTCAGCTCCACATCCTCAGAGTTTCCTGGGTAGTAGCCACTCTGCCTGTAGATAAACTGAGAGGGCTGCTGTGGGTAGTACTGGGAGTGGTAGCCATCATAGTAGGCCTCCTCTTCCTCGCCTCCTCCTTGGTCGTCGTCGTCATACGGCTGTCTGTGGGGGGGACTGTAGGGCTGGTAGCTGCCCTCGCCATGGGGGAGGGGCTGGACTGGAGTGGTGCGGAGGGGATATTTAGGGTCAGCACTGGAGTGAGGCTCAAAGAAACTAAAACTAAATGCCACAACCAAATAGAGTGTTAAAGTAAAAGATTCAGCAGGAAGGTGAGGCATGCAGACAGATATGCAGCGTCGCATGATGCACTACTTTAAAGGAATAGTACACCCAAAACAGGATTAGCCTTCATTTTCTACTCACCCCCATGCTGAACAACACTCTGGAGTACTTTTTTTGATATCTCAAATGCATCTGGAGATCTGGGAGGCTTCTTGCTGTCTGCTGACATTCAAATAATGGAGGTCTATGGTGACCGAGACAGAAAGGTCCATAAAAGTCCACAAAGAACGTGTCAATATTCCTCCATACTGCTCGTCCAATGTATTCCAAGTGTCCTGAGTGGGTAGCATCCAGAATTTACTCGAAACGAAGTCATTTCGAATGTTTTTAGAGCATAAACAGTAGTGTATAGGATTTCCTGAAAGCGCGCACACGCGCGCTCACGACGCTACGGAAGCCGGCAGACCAAACCAGCGCATTCAGCTCGGCAAAGAACTCATGCTCTTCCAGTCCTCAGACATTTTTCTTTCGTTGTTTCTTTCTTTGCACAGGTAAACAGCACATTTCTTCTTCTACGCTTGCATTATTGGCAGAGCAGACGCTGAATGCGCACTTTCATCTGGTTTGGTCTTCCGGCTTCCGTAGCGTCGTGAGCGCGCATGTGCGCGCTTTCAAGAAATCCTATACACTACTGTTTATGCTCTAAAAACATTCTAAATGACTTTGTTTCGAGTAAATTCTGGATGCTACCCACTCAGGACACTTGGAATACATTGGACGAGCAGTATGGAGGAATATTGACACGTTCTTTGTGGACTTTTATGGACCTTTCTGTCTCGGTCACCATAGACCTCCATTATTTGAATGTCAGCAGACAGCAAGAAGCCTCCCAGATCTCCAGATGCATTTGAGATATCAAAAAAGTACTCCAGAGTGTTGTTCAGCATGGGGGTGAGTAGAAAATGAAGGCTAATCATGTTTTGGGTGTACTATTCCTTTAAGTTCGGAGTGGTTAAAGCTTAGAGGTGTTAATTTTCTCACTTTTTAAATAGGCAACATTACTCTAGGGGTAAAATATAGATTTTCAGCACATCTCAGAATCTGATTTGCACAGGTGAGGCAGGCTGCTCAGTAGTGAAAGCAGACAATCAGAAAGGAGCACTATTCATCACTATTTCGCTGATTGATCGGCCTTTGAAAGAAGTGATTAGATCTAATGAGATTTGAGTCCAAAGCAAGCGATTGCAGAGGAAAATGAGTATTTGTTGATAAATGACAGAGCAGCCATTAGTGGGAGCATTGTGAATGTGTTTTTTTTAGCTGGTTTATGAGTTTTTTTTTGTATTCAATGTTCTGATAGTAAATCTGATTTTCTAACAAATGAAGACTGAGCATTGCTTTAGAAATCTGGCACTTAAACCACATAGGGCAGAACTTTGTAAAACACTCATACATTGAAGCTTTTTTTTTTTTAAATGGCAAATTTTCTTTTTTCTACACAAAAAATAGCCATATGTTTTAAGACTGATGTAGAAACTCAAAAGAGCAGGAATTAAGAAATCCCTTAAAGATTATAAATGCTTGTGTTTTGTGAGCTTCTACTGTTTGGCGTCTTGGGGAAAGACTGGATGTTGTTGAACGAGGGAAAAAGGAGGTGAACCCAGCAGGGGGAGAATAAGGAGAGATGGCGGGCGATTTCTCCTCAGTAATCATTCCTGTAATCCTGTTGAACTTTAAATCAGAAGAAGGGAGAAAAAGGGAAAGGGAGGAGGAGAACAGGAGAGAAGATGTTACATGAGGAAGAAAAACCCAAAGACACCGAAGATTTTCAGACAAAGAAAACTTCTCAAACTTCTGGGAAAGGATTTAAGAATGAGAAAAAAAATCCCACAACCATCTGCTCTTAAACAGAAAGGGACCATACAACATTAAAAACTCATTCAATAATTCCAGAAAAAGGACGTTCAATGTGTCACGTTTTTTACTTATTGGAGAGCACAAATAAAAACCTCTGATGCTGAAAAATAAAATCAGGGAAACGCGTTATAATTCTGAAGACATTTGTTAATTCTAAACACCTCTATTGTTTAATCCTTCGTTTTAGTTTAGGAAACAAGCAAAAGCTTGATACCTTATGCTTTCTCTAACTGGTCAGATGTTAACCCTAACCCTATACTGAATAAATCTGAGAAGGTCTTTGTTATTATATTTTAAAATAAATTTAGATACCGGACAACACTAGACAAACACCCATGATGGTGTCAGCACTTTATATGAGGTTTATTTTTCATTAGGCTGAAAGAAAAATGATTTTTTTTTCAGGATAAATCTGTAAAATGCTCTTGTTATTCTTAGCACCATGTTATTAACCCAGGCTTACATAGAGTATGGGCACATGGTCTCAAATATATCTTAGAACCTCTTGGCTGCAGGCCTAAACTTAAAGTCTGCAGGAAAAGCTACGCTATAATCTTGGCTGAGAAGGGGGTGTGTTTTGACTGAGCTTTGTTGGGCAGAGATCAGATAGACAACTCTTACTATTTTTTTTTAAAGATTTTCTTTTATAATCAGTCTATTTCTGGGCCTCCAAATTAAGGTATATTTTGGCAATGACTAATAACTGTGATTTATTTTACAATCGATTAAAATAATTTCTTTATCACAATGTGTTTTACTGCTGTACATATGGATTTTGCTTTTATTTTCTCCTATTCAATGTTTCTTTCCTTATTTCTAAATCATGTCTTCCGAAGCAATTAGATGCTGAAGTTTTGAAATACAATATTAATTAAATAAAAAATAACACATACCAACAAAATAATCTTATGTAAACTTCTGAATTTAGAAGTAACTAGCTGGCAGAGGGTCAGTTTCATGAAGCATGTTCAACAAATTCAGATTCAAATCTGCAACTCTAAATTGATCTGGCCGAAAGTCGAGAACTCAGAGTTTTCGGTTTCCCAACGGCTGCTGTCAATTAGTTTAATCAATTTTATCTAGATCTACTCAGAGTTAAGGGCGTGCGCAACAAGTATGAAAAACCATTATCAGTGGAGCATGACGCGTTCACCATGAAAACAGGGAACAGGAAGTGCCTATTTCACCTCACTGGAACTAGAGATTTGAATACAGAAATACAAAAAATAAAAATAAAAAAGGAGAATGTGTTTAAAAAAAAAAAGAGAAACAGTGCCACAGCTACAAAGGAGAGGAAAATGGTGAAGGAGATGATTGTTGCTCGATTTAATGCGTAATTATATGAGAAGTGGGCTATGGCAGGCCGTTTTTACATTTATTAAAAGCACTCCTCTCTGTTGTTCCATTTGTAGATCACTAAAATAAGTCTTACTGATCAAAATCACACTCCTAGACCTAACTGTAATAATATATTTTTTAAATTACATTTTTGAAGCAGAAACTGAATTTTAGAAAGTAAAAAACAAACTTATACTAGTAAGAATTGAGTTTTATATATATAGAAATGTTTACATATTCTAAGTGTCCGTTCTGACATATCAGCTTGAATGAAAAGGTATTTATGATATCTGAAAAACATTTTTTCATAGTTAAAATGATACAAATGCTGAAAAGTAATATTTGGAATATGGGGATTTAGAATTAATTTACAGAAATCCAAAATGTTTATTCTAGATGTGGAGAATGAAATTTTGTTTGAAATTATAATTTAGACAAAGATTTTTTTTCAGATATCAGAAATACATATTCAGTAAAACTAGTACATAAATATCAAAACGGCTTGCCATAGTGTTGTTATCGTGCAAATTTTCTGATTATTTCTTGAATGGTGGTAGATCAATGTATCTATTTAGATGAAATCTTCTGGCAGCAGGTAAGGATGAAAAATAAAAAATTTTTTCTGATATATAGAACCTGTGGATCATCTCATGCGTCCCTCCTCATGTTGATTCAGTCTGCTTTAACACAGTAAATCAGTGGCTGTTTGCAGCCGTGCTTCAGATGTTATCACCCCAATAAATGGCCATTATAAGCAGCTATCAGTCCCATAGAATGCCTTCAGATTGCAGTAGGCTCATTAGGTTGTTATCATCCAGGGAATCCTAACCCTAAAGTAATTAATTTCCCCTGTGGAATTAATGAATCTATTTATGTGTAATCTATAAATAATTTCAGTAATTATTCATGTACTTTAAATATAACTAAATAAAAATAAAATTATTGCTCATATCAAACAAACCAAAAACAAATAAATCTAATGCCCTGTCAACTGACTGCTAGAATCCTCTCCTATAAATATTTAATTCTCTGTGAAAAGTGCCGATCATTCTTTAATAAGATCCTCGCCAAACGGACATTCAACGTTTGTTTTTTAAACCTAATGTGTCGAACAGACCTAGTGAATGATATATATTTTTTCTATGCACAAAAATCTGACTTAATCAGGAAATAAAACTGCCTGATTGGCTGTAAGGAGAGCGGAGACAGAGGACACTCTGAGTTTACTGGAAATAGACCTGCTACCGACCAGGTGAGCTCTGGGGAGAATGTTACTAAGGTGACTGAAACAGAGGTTGAGGAAACTCTCTTTGTGAACTGGTAAAATCAGAGTTTCCCTATTTTCAGGTTTAGACAACTTATGAGTTTTCGGTAAACCTGCTTCATGAAACAGACCCAGAGTGAAAAATGTTAAGCTGTCATTAAAAATAAGACAAAAAAATGAAAAACTGAAGGCTGCCTTTGAAGTGGCCAGGCAGGGAGGCTCAGTTTAAACCTTGAATTGTTGGGAGGAACAGACGGGACTTGAATCATAAAATGCAAAAAAAAAAAAAAATCAACACTTAGGAGTTGAATCCATTTAAATAAATCTACTTTGATGGATGAAGTAATGTCTCATCCATCAGCTACTTTTCACAGATGATATATGACGTCTTAGCAGCAATGGCTTAAAACTGTGCACTTTGCAGAGGCCTGCAAGATCCTCATCTGTATGAATATTCAGGGAAGTTCTGCTCGCCTCTGTGTTTGTGCCTAAATCTGTGTACCAGCATATTTTATTAGATTTCAACACAGGCAAATAGAGTTGACCTTGTAAGTCCTTAATCCGAATGTGTGGGCATGAATGAATAAACTTCCAAGTGGAAAAACAATAAAGGTCTGATTATTGTCCAAGTCTGAGAACTTAACAGGAACAGTAACTATCTGAGGGCAGACTGTCGCTAGGGGGGGACACCAATTTTAACATTTTACCAAATGGAGAGACACATTAAGCATGGATTGTTTACACTATTCTGAAATAACAGCAGCAGTCAGTAACACTGCTCGCTGACAAAGAAGAACAAATTCCAGAGTAAAGAAATGTTCTGGAGCTTTTTATAATGTCTGCATATTTGATATTTCATCAATAAAATCAAAGAAATTAAACTAAAGAAAATGTTCCAGCTAAAATGTTATTTCACCTTCAGCTTGCAGATCCCATTCTGCTATGTACACTGCCTGTCTGGGTGTTTACACATCTACAGAATTGGATCCAAACCTTATTATTATTAAAACCATGTTTCTCACACATTTCTGAAGTGGGGAATTGAAAAATGGCACAGAGAACCATCCGGTTTCTATTGTCTTCTCACATAAATCACATCCACCCATACTTGTCATGACGCTAATCTGCTAAGGCACTCTCCCCTGTGATGCATACAGCTGGGAGAGTCTACCCCAGTAATCATCTTAAGTATTTAAACCAAGGTCTGTCAATAGAAATTGAAACCAGTCAGTTTCTCTAATGTTCCACAAATGTGAAACAGAAATAAAAGTTACTGTCGGAGATAAGAACAGACTTTGCTCCCACAGACTTCCATTCATAACCTCCTTCTTTAAGGACATATAAACTCTTTGCATGATTATTTATTGTACTACTGGGTAATAATAGTGTTGTGTAACACCAACATAATACCAATTAAACTATTTATTGTCGTATGAAGTAATACTAATTAAACACCAAGTGTTGGAATAAATGGAAATGATTTACCTCCAACATTGTATCCCAGACATGAGCTCTGGTCACAGTATCCTGGCTGTCCAGCTGGTCCTGTAGCTCCTGGATTTCCAGGCCTACCTGCTGCTCCTGGGCTTCCGGGCCTTCCAGGTGGGCCCTGGCTGCCTGTGCGACCTTCACCAGGCAGACCTGAAGATAGAGAAAGAGCCTCTATTTAAATTTGGGTAACTCATTGTGTTTCCAAAGTGGTTTGACATTTAGTGAAATGACTCCAGCTGAGAGACACCTGGTGAGAAAGAATGTAAAAGGAAGTTAAAAAAGCAGCAGAATACGTCCTGTAGCGATCATAAACTGCTTCCGTCTCTGCAGCATTTACCGCAAGACATACAAAATTAGTAGCCTACAAATGCTTGGTTGTCATTTCTGGATAAAGGCTGATAGATACTGCCCTGAGGGCAGGTCCTAGCTGAAATCTAGCCCCAGGCATCTGTTTGATGTGTCCACAGCACACACTGCTCCACCAGGACTGCTCAGGGGTCTGCAGGAAAAGGATATCGGTATCCAAAGGTAGTTTCTTTTGCCAAGTGAACAAATTATTATATTTATATAATGAAAGCTCAGAGAATACAACCTCCTTTTAAAAACACTAACGCTTGATATATACGTTTAGCTTTTCTAGTTATGTAATGATGGAAAAGCTTCTGTTGAGATTGTTCTCTTGTATCGATCACAGCAAACTGAAAATACCAACACTGACATTCTTTTATAACACAAACCTCAAATTCCACCTTGCATGCAGGAAAAATCAATACAGACAGTTATATTCCTGGGCTGAGCAGTCTGCTCACCTTCCTCTCTTTGAGAATCACTACAGAGAGAATCCTAAAAGCCTTAGCAGCTGTGGCTAACTTTATTTGCTTATTCTAATATTTCTGACTGGCTTCTTTTAGGGTTGGGGTTTATGGTTAACCCCTTTAGCTAAGAACTCTGAGCATTTCATCTGTAAATTATAGTTAATGTTCATGCACAGAGTAATTTCACATGGTCATGTTTTGGTGCAAGCCCAGGTCAATAATCATGCTTGTGTCTTACCGGGTGGACCAGATGGTCCTCGAGGTCCCTGACTCCCAATGCCTGGATTCCCCCTCTCTCCCTTTTCTCCTGGCAATCCTGGAAACAAAGATTTAAGACATGCACCTTTAGGGTGGAAGTCCATCTCTCTGAGGTGCCCAAACAGCTGGAGAAGAATTTTGTAAGCAGTTCTGCAAAATCAGTGTATTGATTAATTTTAAAAGTACAGATTCAGATTCAGAGGTTTATCTCAAATGGCAAATATATTTAATATCTTTGCATCTAAATAAGCAGTGTTTTCAAAGCAGCATGTTTTAAAACACATTTCTGACACAAAAATGGATCTTTGAGAGACACCCCTTTAAAAAGGTAGATACACTACCTTATATGGATAATCTTCATAAAACTATTCATATTTAACCAAGACGAAAATAATTTGAATTTTCTCTTCAAAGGGAAGCAATGCAATTTAGCTGTGCACAACACAGCTGAGGCCACAGCACAGACAGAAAGGGATAGTGGAATCAACAGCCAGACCATTGTGGTTTTTGCAGATGTTTTTTTAAATGATAACGTTTCGCAGGTTGGGAAATACATTTTTCTCAGTTATATATATCCTCTGTCACAGTAAAATACCTGCTGATATCCCTAGAACCCCCTATGTATCACCATGGCAACCTTCAATAGTTAGAGAGTTCATAATATCTGTTTATTCCAAGTGAAGCATTTTAACCTTCCTTCCAGCCACAACAAGTAGCATTAGCCTGAAATGATTTTTAAGGTCTTCTCCTAAGTTTAACAATGCTGGTCAGAACTGAACCTGAAATGAAAACAGTTTCAGCTGTTTTAACATGATCATTCACCATGCGGTGAATTGCATGGTTGCCGAACGCATAGATAGATTGCATAGATTGCTGGTCTGTTCTTTCTCAGTTATCTTATTTGACTTCCTTCTCCAGTAAAAAAAAAAAAAAAAAAGAATAGCCTAGAAATATTTGTCTTAGAAATTCACATCATAACTGGTAGATTCAAGCCATCACTGCTTCCGCTGAAGTTATTGCGCCATGAGTTAAACTGAACGCTTTGGTTTCATACTATTCTGTAACTCTGGCTTTGTTCTCCTCTGCTCATTTTCCTCATCTGTTTTTTGGGGATGGGGTAGGATTGAAAACTCAAAAATGGTTGCTATGCACCCTTTAACTTGTAGTCCCTTTTTGGGTCATTAAGAAAATCTAATCAAATTTAATCTGCAGAAATCAAAATCTCCTTATTAACAGACTTAAACGTCTGAACCATGCTGAACCAGTGATTAGAATCTTTCCATTCCAAATGTTTATTCTTTGTGAAAATGAGCTGAGTAAATCATGTCTGAAGCCTATGTCTGCTTTTTTTTTTTTTTTTAGAAAGCAGCTGCTTGAATGATTTCATGTGTTATTTTCAAATATTAAAGAACCACAGTAAAATCTGATCTGTGGATTTTATTTGCTGCTGCTTTTATGGCTGTCTTAATGTAGAAAATGAGTTTCATAACCTCGGATAAATGGCTGTTCTCTTTGTCTTGAAAGTCTGTCCATTAGCTTTTTGAACTGATAAAAAAATAAACAGGTTTCTTATATTCCCCAGTTAAGCTTTTATACTGTAATGTGGTTTATGTGTGCATAGAGGACCAGAGGCATCATATTCTCTATTTTACTTGAAATACTGAAAGGTCTGAAGCCCTGATGAGGACGAGTCATAGCTGGGCAGACATTCAGCAGTTCTTTAATTGTTGTTCCTCTTTATGTGCATCTAGGCTGCATTCAAATATGGCTCTTCAGCGTGGGTTGTATGTTTCAGTGATTAAGATGAAAAACTCATAAATGGCGTCTGTCCTCTCCAGGCCTTGTAGCAAAGGAATGACCTCATGGACACTGAAGTTACTGTGTTTAATGTGATTTGGGAGGACCAGACCACCAAATACAGAAAACAAGCAGAATGGATCTCAGACAAATAATCAGTGTGAGCAGAAAGGCCTGCAAAGTTTCTCCCAGCGTATGCATAGCTTATTTTTATTGTTCATCCAGCTAAAACACTGTGTTTAAGCTTTAATAGTTGTTCTCCAAACCAATTCTTCATTCTGGCAGGCTAATTCAAGTTCTACTCTCTAGATTTTGTTATTTTTTTCGAATTTTTTGGGGGGAGTTAATAGGTTAACTTTTAATTAAAAAAACGTTCTGTGGAGAAGGTCCACAGCCATAAGGCGCTAGCTGACTGCTCTTAACTCCCATATACGGCGGTTCTAATGGCAACCATCAATAAATACCTGAACTAAACATTTTTGATGAACAAAAGAATAGAGTCAGATCATTATTTTAGATTATAAAGATAAATCACACTCATAATTTCCCCATTTTTATGCATTTTCTGTTTTACTCTTAACAATTTATATATTTTTTTTGTGACTGACTCACACAAAACTAATGTCAGTGCTAGACTGGACTGTTGATATAGATTGTTTTTTTAATCAAATTTTAATCTTTTTACTATTTTATTAATGTTTATTTTAATATTTAATTTCCTATCATAAGAAAATCATAAAGTTATTATTGGTCCCGAACCACTGTGTGCAGGAGGAGAAAGTCAGTAGCCCAGGGTACAGCTGCTGAGGTCAGTTCTCCTTTAGTGACATCACATCCCAGGATAAGCCAATTGTAAAAATCAGATCAGATGGTTTCGATATAAAATCTGAATAACGCCCAGGACATGTAGAGACATCACTATAAGACATCTATTCATACACTTTACTAAAAGGTTGATTTAGGGGTGAGTAGTGCTTTAAGGTGACGCCAAATGAAAAAAATGAACCTATTTCAGCAATTTTTGTGCATAAAACCATTTGAGGATGAGCTTTAATTAATTTATCTAAATAGATCTGTGAATGTCAGCAGGTATTTTATAGGGGTAGAACAGACAAAAGGGGATATTATAATTAAATCAACACATGTCGAATGAAAGACAATCGAAGTTGATTTAATGATTTAACTTCTCACTGCTAGAGCTTTCTGTCATAGCAACACAATCCGTGGTCTATGCCTCATCCCTCAGCTGATACTCTTATAAAGCAGAGATTCTGCTTATAGAAAGTGCTTCTCAGTAGCCTCCAATTGTAGATTATTTCCCAGTTATTCCAGTGGGTGTTTTTTCCCCCAATTATTTTTAGACCTCTTCAAATCAAGTGCCAGACTCTTAGCAGGCTGTCCACTGTCACTTTAACAGTCAGGAGCACAAATGATGACATTTGTGAGAGTTTAAACAAGGCAACCCTCCTTCAACATACAGAGTAACATTGTTCTCATCATGTTCTGCTAATATGATAAGCCTGTGTACATATCAGCAGTTTAAACAGAAATACATGTAGAGGTGTTCTAATTTATTTCTAACCACAAAGAGGTTAGAGAAAAACATTCCTGTGTTAGATGGATGATTTTATAATAATATCATCAATATTTACTTATTGATGACTGTTAAGATGTGTGTTTATTCTGCTATCAAAACATAATGAAATACTATTCACGGTCCATCGAGGGAAAAATGTTCATTTTCTTTTATTTTCCATGCCAGCATCTTCTCATCTCACCTCTCTGACCAGGTTGGCCATTCTGGCCATTAGTACCGGGAAAACCGGGCCTTCCAGGTGGACCTTGCTCTCCCTGAGGACCAGGAGGACCTCTCCTTCCTGGCTCCCCCGGTGGGCCAGGAACGGTTCGGACTGATACTGATGACTGTTGGGGGATCTGGTTCAAGATGGAGTTATAGCGAGACAGATGGCCTACATTTAGCAGAGATGGGGGGAAAAAATGCTTTTTAACAATCTTTTTAAAAATCCATTATTGATGAGAATTAGAAGGAAAACAAACACAAAAAAACACTAACTTTGGATGATTTGTTCACAAACTTGTCGTGCAATCGCTCTCACGGCTGCTTGGGACTGAACATCACCCTAAGGAACAAATGAACAGCAGACTGGTAGCACTTTTCCATTTGAGCAGCAACAGGGATATTAACCGAGACCAGAGGTTCATAAATAGGAGAGGTCGTACTAGGGGTAACTAACACAGCCAGCCTTTATTCTATACTCATTGGCTAATATTTATATTTTCCAAAACAGCAAATAATTTTCAACCACATGTCAGAGCTTATTATTTACCCAATTTTTATGTACATTATTTTTTATGAATCAAACTTGACCTTCAGAGTAAATGTGGAACTATAATGCAGTTTTTGAAAAATCTAGTTTTTTATTTGTAATTTTTCAGTAAAATATTTGTGAAAAAGTGTAGAACAGAGGTTCCTCCCTTTACTATGACTTAAAATGAAAAGTTAAGTTATGTAAGATCTTTCATGGGACGCAGAAATATTTAACTCCAAGTCAGACTTCAGGTGATTGTATTCCTTTAGGATAAATATAAAATTGGACGACTTCTTGAAGTCACAAGAGAGAGGTCCTAATGAAAACGGCCATTCCTTTTCATATATCAAAGAGCAAGAATTCAGATGTAGGGTTGACCAATTACTTTGAAAAAAATCCCCATCAGATTATCACTATCTTTGTTCAGAACTAGGCCACCTCACAGAGACTCGCAGGAGAAAATCCTCTTATTTTCTTTTTCAAAAACTTTCATCTTCCTTCTTGAACTAAAATTAGCTGCAGCAAGTTACAAACGTCCCCGTCGTTCAGGTTTGATTCAAGTCAGTGAGCAGTGTGTCTCACAAGCCCCTGGCAATGGTGTCCTTGCTTCTGTGTCAGCAAAAATCCACATACTGCTCCATGAACACCGATTTCATTCGATTGACTCTAAACACGATGTTTGAGTGAAATAGCAAAAACCAAAGGCTCTAACAGGTTAATGGGATTTCTTCCAAATAGGAGCAATTTCCAGAAGGAAAAACATTCCCAGTGGAAGATTTTAACAGCAGCACAAATGTAAAGATGGAGTATCTTACTCGTTCTCCTTTATCGCCTTTGGTACCAACAAGACCCTAAAAGAGAGAAGCAGAGGAAGAATAGGACCTTTTATAAAGATCTGGAGTTTTAAAAACATTTTGATTATTAAAAAGTTTATGGGACCAGACCAAGATAACCTGAGTAAAACTAGAATACAGACTTAAACAAGGATTGCATTTATATATATAAAAAAAAAAAAAACGGCAATTCAAACCAGGCTGGGCATTCATTAAAAGAAAAAAAAGATGTTAAGTTGACTTACTGAGTTAACTAAGTTAAACTCACGTATGTTTACGTAAGGCCGTCCTAAGTGCTTGTCCCTGTCTGATATACTGTACAGGTCCTTCTCAAAATATTAGCATATTGTAATAAAGTTATTTATTTTCCATAATTTAATGATAAAACTTGAACATTCATATATTTTAGATTCAAACTTTAGATTGTCTTAATACTTAATAATTCTGAAAAATATCTCAAATATATATGAATGTTCAAGTTTTATCATTACATTATGGAAAATAATGAACTTTATCACAATATGCTAAAATTTTGAGAAGGACCTGTACTGGAAAAATTGCAAATCTTCTTTTGGAAAGTAAGCTTGTATGAGTGATGCAAACAGTGACTTTTAAACAGAGCGTGCACGAAGAAAAATGGGATCATGCATGCCCTGGCACGCGTTTAATAGACGTTCCCTCTCGGGAGCAGGTACAGGACGAGCATATTTTAAGTAGAGAGGGTGGGTATTTTCAAAATATTCATAAAAATCCTCCACTATACTTTGTATGGAACCATGGCAATCACAGAAGAGTTGTAAAGGAACTTCAGAGGCTTTGGGACTTCAGTGAATCACAATGAAAGCCACAAACAGAAAAAAAACAAACCATGAACCCTCCTAGAGGTGGTCGGTGTGTGAAAATGACTCCAGGAGTTCCCTGACAAGTCATCCAGGAGGTCACTAAAGAACTAAATTACAGCACAGCTCAGCTGTTTCAGTTAGGGTCAGATTAATGATTCAGCAATAATAAAGAGACTGGGAAAATGCTATCAATAGAGTTCCAAGGCAAAACGGACTACCACAAAATGTTAATAGGGTGTGCTTCCATTTACATCTAGACTTTAACCTTCATAATGTCATGCATGCTACACCCTAAAACTCTTACAGCACAGCACACAAATGTATACTATCAAATACTGTAAAGCCAAATTGTCTTTTAAAAGGGGTAGAAGCAGTCGGCCATTGCTCTAGAATTGAAATAAATCCTTGTGGCCTATCCATAATTCCTTTATAAGAGGGTAAAACAGACTGTTCATGGTCAAAGTGCTCTAATGAGAGAAAACAAGCCAAATTTCCTCCCACAACAACACAAAAGACTCATTGCCAGTTATTGCAAATGCCTGATGGCAGTTGTTCCAAACATGAATATTAAAACCAGTTATTAGGTCTGGTGGACAATTGTTTTCAAATACGGCCAGCTTGGTTTGAAAAGCCTTTTCTCCCAAATAGATGAACCATGTCTCTAAAGCACAGTAGAAATACTCAGGTTATCTCTGACTCATACTAAAATGCATCTAATGATAAAAACAAAAGCATATGAGATGTGTAAAGGGGAAGGGGATAGTCATTCACAGCACATGCCTCTTAGAAATAGCCTCTCTCCACCAATTTCACCATTTGTTACTCTTATCTGACATTTTCTGTATGTCTTGCGATCTCTTGTCTAACTAAGATTACTGAAACATAAAAGATTGGAACAGATTCACTGCAACAAGCCTCAGAGAGTCACAGAGGCTGACGTGTGCTTTGGATGAACCTGCCTTCTGCTTTTTTTCAACAACCTAAAACCAAGGAGAAGAGGTCTGAATGTGCCAAGCATGAGAATATCCGAGTCGTTGTAATTCAGACGTGTATAAAGGACAAATATTTGCTCTCCATAAACCTCTGACTGTTAAATAAAAGCTGTAACTTTTTAACACTCTTAAATGACAGCTTGTTTATCTTCTAGCAGATACAAACGCCCTTGACCACCGCCACCAACCGTCTGGTTGTACTTGTGGGCGAGGGTTTGTGTTTGGTAGGAAATTAAAGACATATTATTCAGCCGATGATAGAAAAAGTCTTGCCAGTATTTAACACAGCTGCCCTGGATAGTAAAACTTCTTGAACTTGAACCTCTTCTATGAGCCAGAATCCTATGAGTCTTTCTGGGCACATAAATGTCTGTCGTCTTACCAGGGTGACATGAAAAAACCCAGCTAAATAAAGTTGATGGGACAACTGCTCATAAAAATCTGATTTATGATTGATCAAATCTGACCTCCTTTTTTATGATCTGCGTGTGCAGGGTTTCTCCAATGAGAGGATATGGAGTATTATTACCATTAACCTTGAGTTTAAAAATGCAGAGGGAAGAATCCCTCTGCTGACTCACTTCTCTCTCAGCATGTCAAACGTGGACTGATGAAGCGCTCCCGAGAAGATTGTTGAATTTCTTTCTTTCATAGTTGGCAAACGTGATCACTATCAAGTCAAGCAAGATGAATTTCAGAAAGACTCTCCTGTGGTTGGATGACTGGAAACCACATTTAGATTCAGACTCTGGACCAGGTTCAAAAACTCGGCAGATGTCAGCGGGAGCTTTGACAATCTGGCAAAAGTATACATATATCTAATCGCAACCATAGTGAGCTATGGGTAAAAGGAGCACTGACAAAACAGTAAACCAAGTCTGCTCAGTTCATCTATTAAAGGTTAATCCTAAAGTTTCATCATTACTGATCTTGATAAATGAAGCACAGCATTTCCAGATGCACTGTCTCGTCTCTAAAAACAGTCGTTTGGGTTTCATTTTAGCCACTCAAGTCAAGAAACTGAAGCTCTGCTGCACTCCGGATTTAAATGCCATTAACCTCTGACTGATATAAATCTACTGTCATCTAATTAAGTTCTTAGTGGGGTCAGATATGGGCAGCCCAGATGACCTTGACAGGCAAACCAGATTCCAGGTTGGAATTTCAGATTCAGCTGGATGCTGAGATTTAAGATAAAGAAAAAAAAAAACATAAAAAATAAACCTTGTGCACTTTTGCTTCATACAGAAAGCAGATACAATCTAATATAGAAACTTTTTTATGGGTTTTGTGTCCTTTTTTTAAACAAGTGCGCAATGGTGAGGGTGTCAGTGATTTATAGATCAACTCTCTAAGCCAAACTTGCTGCTGGCTTGATGAGCTGACCCAGGACTAGGTAATCTGTCCCCAACACCGCAGTGTCATCTGTCATGGTTACACATAGTTTGAATCCAAAAAAAGTCTATTCAGCATCCTTGTCTGTGTTTAAGTGGCTTGCACTAATTCTTTTTCTTTTTAACAGCAAAAAAAAAAAAAACATGAGGAATAAAAGGTGCTGCAACTCAGATTTTAAAAAGCACGCTACACTAGAGGTCTGCCTATTAGAGTCTAAAGCCTGATGACTAAACTACTGTCAGATTGCAAAAGCATTTATATCCCATTTATTGTTCACTTTTTTCCACATTACAGTGGAAAAATTTTAATAGCTTTCATTAGGACTCCGGTATCCCTATGAGAATGTATCAGTTAGATTAATAATTAATAATGTCAGTGTTAATCAAGCTGCTCTTTGAAGGTCTCAAAGGATTGTTGCCTCTGCAGAGATTCAAAGCCCAGAGGTGAGAATCTGTCTGCAGCAGATAGATTTTATACCACTAATCTGACCTTTATGAAGGAGTGACAAAAAGGAAGATATTGCAGACAGGAAACCATTAGATACATGTAAGCCACAACGTTCAGGTTTTTATCTATATTTAAAATAGAAAATCATGCAAGATTTAAAGTGATTTTGCAAAGTAAGAATATCTTAAATTCAGCCTGAAAAAAACAACTATATATTCATGTATAATAATATATGTCTGATCACAACATGTAGACAATAAAAAATAAAATAAAAACCATAATGCTATAGATTAAAATTCCTAAAAAAAAAATGATTAAGTCTTCATTGGTAGACCAATTCATTTGGATGCGTTTAATCAGTGCATTTGAATTTTTTTTTAGTTGGTCTTATGGACTATCTTTAGAAATAATAATACAAAAAAAAAAGCTTATCCAGAAGTGTCTAAATGTAAAAAAAAAAAAGAAAAAGGTTGATGGAAGGCATGTCATTTAAAGTAAGATGATCTCAACTCACAGGAACTCCTTGTTCGCCTGTAGGCCCTGCTGGTCCTTTTGGTCCTGGAGCTCCAGGAGCTCCCGGGACTCCCTGAGACACAGAAAATAAAGGGAAGTGAGTGAAGAAAGGACAATAAAATAACACGACTGTAATAAAGATAGACTCACAATAGGTCCAGGAGGTCCTTGTCTTCCCTGAGGTCCGCTGTTACCTGGCTGACCCTGAAACAGAGATTGTGAAATACATTCAGCATCTCACATCATGTTAACCTTTCTTTTATTATGAGTCTTTTACTTCCATTTTCAGAAGTAGTTGCTTAAATTGAAATTGGTTTGACCGGAAATAGAATAGGGTGGAGAGAGAAGGGGAAGAAATGACAGGGTCTCATGGGCCAGGACTCGGTCCTTGACAGAACTGAAGCCTCACTACCTTGGTGGGCAGCTCCACCTCTACTCCACAGCCCAGCTGTGGTCCAGATTTGTTTTTTAATATTGTAATAGTAAACAATAAGGCTACAATTATTGTGTGCAGCTTCATTACTGGACTCAAGCAGCCTTGATCAAACTTAGATTATTTTAAGTTTAGACAGATTGTCTAAACAAGTTAATTCCTTCTAACTCTAGCATTAGTAGCAAATACACTATGTTCATGTGAAGATGTTCTCAATTAGTATACATCTAATCTAACAAAATGCAACTGCAACTTTAATCCCTACAACAGATTGTCATGTAAATCAGGCCAGCTCTCAGGTTTTACAGCATATTAAAAATAAATTGTTTCTAATACTACGATGGTTTGTTTGCTAGAATGATTATTGGTTGTTTAAACTGAGCTATATCTTTGTTTAATGTAGAACTTGGACACCAAATGCAGCCTCAAATTACTGGAAAACAGCTTAAACCAAAACCCGGCTAATCCTTTTAATTTAGATTGAACTTTGAGGCTGATTGCCTTTCAGTATGGACAACATGTGGAGCATGTCCTCATTATGCCTTTGAAAGAAAAGAAACTAGAAGAAAAACATAATGTTTCCAAAAACTGATCAGTCAGAAAGGAGAATACGTCGTAGAGACTATTCTATATGATGAAAAGATTTTTGTGGGAGTATTCTTTTTCTGAATTTTGTTCTCTAGCTGAAATGAATGATGCTATCTATGACAATGCAATCACTGTAATATACAGCATATAGGACAGCAACAGCCTGAGCTTCTCTGAACTGCCTGAGCCTAAAAGAGACTAAAACTTAGGTTTTAAAGGGAAAAGAGACAACTAACACCTTGAGGCAAGGCTGTTAATAATATTCACACCAGGCTGGTGCTGCTACAACTGAGATATGTATAAAGGCCTTAGTAGCACAGCTGCTTTGTGTGTTGTGTCTTTGCATTTCTCAGTCTGCAACCAAAATGACCTCAGCATGCAGCTGCAACTAAGATGACTTCCTTGTCCGTATTGGATGGATTCCTGCTAAATGACCAATCATGAAGCAATTTCAGCTGTTTTCAGAAGCAGGAGGCACCTTGTCTGCTGAACCATTAATCTCAAGCTACATCTGTTCATTCTATATTTGCAACTATGAACACAAATACTTAAGGCATACTGAAGGCATAAGGAGTTAATAACCACTTATTTGCAGCTCTGGTACATTGATTGTCTCATAACTGGCTCTTGTGTGTCCAGCAGTGTATCATGGCTTAGAACTTATTAGCTTAGAAATATTAAAAACAGCAGGAAAAGCTGGCAAAGTTCAGGTAACCAGATGTTAGCATTGCTATAATGATTTGGTCTTTCAACACGTATTCAGAAACCATCAAAGAAATTGATGAAAGTGAATGGTCTCTATTTGGTTTTGTGGTTAAAGGTTTCCTAACCACTCTGTAATGTATATACAGAGCAGTAAACGCAGGCTTTTATTTCTACACTGTTTCATAATCAGGCCATTTTCTTACTGAAATCATTACGTACTACCCTTCGTTTAGAGGCAGAGCAAACACTGATTGGTTAGACATGTGCCAAGTTGTAAGAGTTGTGATTTTTTTGTGTTACACCAGGTGCTCAAATGCTTTTAAATAGGCATCCTAGCGTGATTTCAATCTGAAAAACTCACACGGAGAGAAAAGACATTTAGAAGAAAAAAAAAAAAAAAAAAGAAAAAAAAACAGCGCTTGCTTGACTGAGCATAATGGACAGTTGTGACACTGCAACCCAGATTTGAGAAGATCTACAGCAAAAAGCAGGCTCACTACAGCCACTGAAAAGATGGGAGGATTAAAGTACAAAGAAAAAACTCTCAGGGAGCTGTTAAATGTTTTCACTCCATTTTGCACAGAGGCTTTTTTAATGTATAGATTATAGCAAAGTTAAATATTGTTACAAATAAAAAAAAAGAAATATGTTTAAAATAACACAGACAACAAAGAATCCTCTTCTAATCTACAGTATAGAACTATGAAAAAAATACAGTTACACAAAAGTGTTCCACTGTAAAGATGGTGTAGTTTGTTTTGTTGCAACCTGAAGTGTGAAATAAACTTCAGTGGAGTTTGAAAACAAAATATGTGTATAGATAGATTATATCTGGTTGAACGATGTGTGTGCCCAGTTGTTTCTTTTTTTTTGGATTACATTTTTTTGTAATCCAAAGGGGGGCCCAGAAGAAAATCTTTGGGAACCACTGACTTAGGCGATTACTTAAGAAATCGGCAGGAAAATTAGTGCTGAATTTTGATGGATATGCATGAACAAGAGTAAAGAACAGGAGTGTTTCCCCCCAAGGCCTGAAACTGGTGGTGAAGTGGAGATAGATGAAGTTGGTCAGTCTGTTGACTACTGGTTGGCGAGACGATATGCTGAGCTTTATGGGGAGATCCAGTGGACTGCGTGAGCTGATACTAGAGCTTCACTCAGGGACCTGGAAGATGGAACTCCAGTTGGATAACACAGGTTGAGAGAACCTGTCTATGATGAGCAAGCATGAAGCGATAGTGGAGAGGAAAAACTCCCCGTTGCGAAGATAACCTCTGGCAGAACCAGCCTCAACATGGCGGTCTTCTACCGGACCGGTTGAAATGAGACGCAGAATGCAGTAAGAGTCCGGGAGTAATGAAACTCTGATGAAGTTTTAGCTACGATGGTGGTGAAGGGGATGGAGGTGGGTTGAAACAGGTCATCTGAATAAAGTCACACAGCACAACCACCGCAGGCGGCAGACAAGTTGCAGATCGGAGGCCTTTTAAGATGAACTTTGGGCGCTGAATGGCTTACGTGGAGGCATTGTTCAAAGCTGATTAGCAGTGTCATAAGCGGATGAAGGCGAGAAATCAGTTTATTCAGTTGAACATCCGCCTAGGCTCCATTTTTAGACATGAGGAGTAGAAAAAGCAGCAAAGAGTATGAGCTATGGCTAACCTTTCCCCAACCTTCTGCTTCAGAGCCTTGATCATTACCAATCAAATTTTAAAGTTTGGGATCATTTGTGTTCTTCATCCGTTTTACTGTGATTTTACAGACATGTGTTCAAATATCATTCTGCATACATAGGAGACTAGGTTCCATGTTTGTCTCTGCACAGCAAAAACTTTCCCTGCCAATCTTTCATGCTGCTAATGATAAGTGGGGGCCATCATCTCATACTTTGCATAGTCTTGATTGATCAATCTTTGAATGAGGTCTTGCCAAAAAAGGTTGCATTTTTTAAGTAACCTCTTGAAGGAAAAGAAACATAATTAATAGTTCATTGAATAAGAGAAAATTATTTATTTTTTTATTATGGATAAAAAAAAAACATATTTATTTAATTAATGCATGCATCTCAAGTAACATTTAAATATTTACATTTACAAATAGAGATCTTTCCAGTATGTGTCACATTTGGCTTTCCATACCTGCGCCAGTTGCATTTGATCCAATTTATAGATTTTTACTTGTGTGACATGTTTAAAGTGGACCACAAAATGTTCTGGTCAAAATCTTTCTTAAGCAGATACTGTATGGCTATACAGTAAAATTGTCTACTTATTTACTTCAACCACAGCATTGTTGCAGCCGCCGAAGGGTGATCTAGTTATGTCAGTGAAATTCAAAACATCTTAACCTCTTAACAATACCCATTGCTCCGGTTTTTTGCTCCGGCAGAGCGCTTTAAGCTATGACCACCTTCTCAGGCTTTTGTGGGTTAAGGTGATCTGAAGTTCTGTTCTTTCTAAAGCTGTTCCTGTGGCTTGAGGCAGCTTCTTCAGGTGAGAGCTGCAGTACCCTTCATGTCAGGTGGGGGAGCTGCTGCCTGACTGGGTACAGAGGGGAAGACTCAGGTTCTGTAATTTCCTTTCTCTACTTGCAGCACAGCCAGCCTTATGTACAGGTATAGCAGCTTCATAAACTTCAGAGAAATGTCGTCAGCAGCAAAACCTAAGGACCCACACTGAGCTTCCAGTGTGGGTCCTTGGGCAAGACCCTTCACGCCAATGCCTGCTTTGTGGAGTGGCAGCCTAGCCCACACTGCTCCCAGGCTGCCGCACCATGGCAGCCCACTGGTCCCCAAGGGGATGGGTTAAAAGCAGACAGTTAATTTGGTTGCTCTGTACTTGTGACAGTGTGATGACAACAAAAACCACTGGAAAAAAGAAAAAGCTGGATAACCAGTTAGAAGGAATGGCTGGAGGGGGAACTTCCCAATACTGCAGTGGATCTAAAAAAAAAGTATAAATAGGAAAACATTTGATGAAACTTAAGAATAAAGTTTAAATTCCCTTGCAAAAATATTTAAAAAATGCTAATATTTGTGGCCAATTATGTAAGGGGCTGAAGGGGCCATTCAACTGGCCCTGTTGTCCCCCCACCCCCCACCCAGCCATCGGCGGCCGTGAATTAGACCTTTTTTGGATTTACCATGTCTTGGGCAACTGAATATCCACCATCTTGACACTTAAAGTACTATTATCCCCTCCTTTTAAACTTTGTATGTAGATGTTTCATAACTAAATAGCAAACACTCTCTGTTGCAGCAAAGACCATCTAATAACATACACACATGTGAAAGCGAGGATGATTGAAACAACCTGTCAGCCAGCTTTTTATAAACATATAAAACATTGGAAAATTCTCTCGTGAACAATAAAACAATAAAACGAAGATTCATAGCTTTTCCTTGATCTATTCCACTGTGATATGGGTAAATAAATTACCCAGGATACAGCTACTGTTGGTGATCTAATCTACCTGACTT